CCCCCCCGTGGGCTGTTTGGTTCTCGTTTTACATGAAGTTGATGCAATGTAGGAAAAAACTGGGGATCAGGAGACCTGGTTCTAGTCCCCATTTCACCATACTCTGGGATCTAGAATTAATGACTTAATTTTACCATCTATAGAATGAGGCAGGGGTGGGGAAGGTGATTCTAGAGACTTCTCAATTTGTTCTGGTTGTACTTAACAAGGTAATAATTCTGCGGGTTTTCAGTAGTTACTATTTAATTTTCCTAACTCTGGGATCCCAAAGTTGGGCTCTATTTTGGATGTGTTTTGGAATTTCCATTATCCTGTGATCTAGCCAATCTTGGGAACTTTCAAATCCTGATAGATAGATAGATAGATAGATAGATAGATAGATAGATAGATAGATAGACAGATAGATGATAGATAGATAGACAGACAGACAGACAGACAGATAGATAGATAGATAGATAGATAGATAGATGTGGTTGACATTCAAGGAAAATGTCAGAGACATCCAGACACATTCCATAGCTTGGAGAAATGGTCAGCAGATACACACATACACACACATATACACTAGAGGGATAGGCTTGGAGTCCAGGATGCCCTGTTCCCACAGGAGTATAGGAAGGAAGGAGAAAGATCAGGCTAATGAAGGACAGCGACTCCACCCATGGGCAGGGGTGGGGAAGGGGTGCCTACAGCTGCCTGGTTTTCCTCTCTTTGGAGAAGTGGCAGAAACAGCACGCGGAGATCTGCACTAAACCTAGAAAGAAATGATCTTGGGACAAAGACTCATCATATATAGTTTTGACACTGTAAGTCAGTTCTCTCCAAATCAGTAATGAAGTAGTCTGGCTAAAGCAGTGGTTCCTTGCCGTTTTTGGGGTTCTGAACCCTTTTAGAAATCTTACAGCAGCTATGGATGTTTCTTTGCTAGAAAACTACCCATATATTCACAAACCGGGATATAATTTTAGGGATTCCTATATGCCCTGAAGCCCATGGACCCCAAGTCAGCAACCCCCTGGTCTAAAGTGGAATAAGGGAGCTCAACAGGGCTAGACGGAGAAGTTCAGGGCTAGACCCAGATTTCCAAGCCCATAATTTGCTGCCAAAATTAAACATGTAGTAACATAAAGATTTCTTTTCTTTTTTCCCTCTGACCATCACCCTCTTTTTCTTTCTCTATTCCCACATCTTTTGCCATCTCTCCTCGTGCCCTCTCTATTTCTCTCCCCACCTCTTGCGCATCTCGCACTGCAGATGTTCCCGCCTGGTTAAAAAGCCTCCGCCTGCACAAGTACGCCGCGCTGTTTTCCCAGATGACCTACGAGGAGATGATGGCCCTCACTGAGTGCCAGCTAGAGGCTCAGGTACGTGTTCTAGGGACCATTCCCCAAGAAGATGCCCCAGGTAGAACCTGAAGTTCAAGTCCAAGACAGACCTTATTTAGACTCATACCTTTACCCTCCCAGTAGCTTGTCTTCTTTGAGGAATTGCCAGGTGCTGGCCAGCGTTGCATGGTAAGTAAGGCTGGGTTCTTGCCTTCAGGGCCCAGTAGGAAACGGAAGACAAGCAGATAACCCAGAAAGGGCAAATGAGGCGAGAGAGAGTATTATGGAAAAGGTGTAACGTAGGTACACTCACTAAGTCCTAGGGTGCTAGGGAGGCATCTCTTAGAAGTGGAACATTTGACCAAGGCCTGTGTCCTGCTTTTACTTTCTTTTACTCCTTCCCCCTGTCCAGCCAGGGTGTGTTTGGGGAATAACAGAACGGTTGGTTTTCTATTGTCCAGTCTGGTTACAAATCAGCTAAGTTCTGGTAATTGCTGAGCAGAAGCATAGGTCAAGCCTCAAACCTTTCCCAACACTGGTACAAAAATATGTTCAGACTGGTCTTTAGCTGAAATTAGAGTAAGCTGTACAATACTTTTTTCCTCTAACCCCCTTCAATAGTGCGGGACAGTCATTGAGACGGGATTCCCCCAGGTCTCAGATTTCATTTCCCTCTGCGTACCATAGAGGACAAAGTCCCTCCTTCCTTCTAAGCCTTAGAATCTAAGGCATCGTTCCCAAGTGTGGTTGCCAAAGGCCAGGCCAGTCAACAGAACCCCCGAAATGAAGCATGTTTTCTACCACGCTGTGCTCGAGTCAATAGATCTGACTGATGTCTTTGTTTCCCTTGTTTAAAATGCTATTTGCATGTTTTAAATTGACCTCAGTTTCCTCTGAGCAGTGATTTAAAAGAATTAATGGTCTGAACAGGCTAATAGTATTTCCTTTGCAGGAAGAGGAGATTGTACCATTTGGGGCATAGCTGGTCTGCACACATACCTCCCAGCAGATCGCTGAACTCCCGGTGTACAGTCAGCACCCCAGTTAACCTCTGCCGGCCTGGCTGATTACCAATATTGAGATGCAAGACAAAACCCAAAGTTACTGCACATCGCAGAGAATGAAAGGCACTAATTTCAGCTTCCCAACACTCTCCCACTGCCTTTTTCATCTCGATTGCTCCTTGAGATCCCAGGAATTGATGAGAACTGCTTCTAAGAGCATTTTTGTCTTTGGGTCATAGTTGAGAGAAAAAACTAAGTCATCATTCGTTTCACTTGAGGGAAAAAAACACACCAAGAAATAACTGACACAGAGGGCAATGCCAGAGGCCAGCACAAACTGTTCAGAGTAATTTCGTTCCCTTTAACCCAAAGTTAAGGCTAAACAGAAATATGCCCCCAGTGCTTCATCTTGAAAGTGAGTTCAGTTGTCAGTTGACAACTTAATTTTTCTAAGTAAAGTAGCTGTGTTCCCATCTCCTTTTTTAAGAGGAGTTCTATGAATAGTTGCACGAAGTTTGTATTGGAGACTTGATGTCAGAAAGGACTTCCTATTTGGAAATTTGTAGTATGTATAGTTAATAGGTGTTAAAGAAAATCGTTAGGCTCATCATTGCTATACAATTAAGAAGATAAAATCCACAACCTGTGAATCCTAATCATTTACCTGAAGTGACGACTGAATTATAGGTTTAAGTTTTCCTTATGGAGACCACAGAGGGTTTGTGGCCTCACAGAAATTGCCTATGTGCTGTGACACCAGGTAAGACCTGTAGTGGACCTCACATCTTCTCGAGTTGGGAAACATAGGAAAGATTGGAAGAAACCATGAGTATCTCTATGGGATTGGAACCTTCAGGGAACCTGGGAGGGACTGGATCATAAACCCTGGTGAAGTGTCTGGCTTAAAAATGATCTCTTACGACTATGAAGAAATTTCATGCTGGGTGGGGTGATTCCAGCCTCTCTCTCCTAAAGGTTACAGCAAAAGACCAGGCACGCGTGCAGCCAGATGAAGTTAGAATGCTTAGTAAGAAGAGGTTTGTAATGATAGGTACTAAAGAGAGAGACAATAGATATCTGCTAGTCTACAAACATGTAGGAACAAAGCAAACAGTAAAGTACTAAATAGCCTCCCAGTCTCTAAGCTGATTCTTTAAAATGTTTTGAAATATAACTTTCATTTAATTACAGAATGTTACCAAAGGTGCAAGACACAAAATTGTCATCAGTATTCAGAAGCTCAAAGAAAGACAGAACCTCCTAAAGTCTTTGGAAAGGGTAAGTGATTCCCGGCCGAGGGATTGTTTCCACCTTCATCATGGGGAAATGGACCAGGGACATTTCTCAATTGAAAAGTGTCACTGGCAGACCTTATGGAGTGTGTCACGCTGTTTCCTTACCAGAGTTAGGAGGAATGAAATGGTTTTGAAGGGCAGATTCCTGCTCCTTCAGACTTCTGTGTAACCTGCCTGCCGAAATGTACTTGTTCCCGGGGTCCAGGCAGCCTGTGACTGGCCGCCCCAGAGCGCTGAAGAAGTGTTGGCAAATGAATCCTTTCTATGCACATTCCCCGCTGCCTTTCGTGCATTTGCAGAGGTTAGAGAAGGGTTCAACCCACAATCAGAGGCTGAAATCCTGACGGAATATTGCAGGGAACATGCAGATCTGCTTCACTCCTGCTCTCCACCAGGGAAAGGCCTGCTTTTGTGAGAAGCTGCCCCAGAAAGGCCAACACCTACAGGTGTGCTCCAGGTTTCGCTTGAGGGGATGGAAATCACTTGGCAGACGGGCGTGGTTGGCTCTCCATAGAATAATTTCACACTTTAACTTAACAGCAGAATGGGTACCCATGACTCTGGTAGGAACCATCTCAAAAATGCCAAATGCTGAAAAAGTTTATTCCAGTGTTAAAAGCAGTTATCAGCTGCTACTGTCCCTCTGTGTTTGCTGCCTAAACACATTCTTGGCCTATCTTTGTATCCAGACATCACTCTGGTAACGATGTCATTTTTAGGACTTGGTGACTTTATGATTACATCTAAGGGCTAAAGGAGAGCAGACCTGGTTCCACACACAGGGAGCCCATCTGCCTCTGTCCCAGAGTCAGTTTCCGTGCACTGCTGTTGGGAGGCGGTGGAGTGGTAGGTGGGAAGTTCAGTACTTATCTGCTGCCTGCAGAGCTCCAGGGGTAGCAAAGCAGAGAGAGGTAGGGCTAAAGCAAGTTTTGTGAGCACATAAACATTTTAATGCACTGGGAGGGTTTTTGTTTAACTTATTCACAAAATGTGTATAGGCTTTTACATGTCATATATAGTTATATTTAATGCATAGTACATGAAATATAAAGTAATATATATTGATAGAATATGCATGTATGCTTTATAAGGAAGGTTATTTTGAAAACCTCTGGATGGATACACAGAGGCTTCTCACCTACCCATCTATGATGAAAGGCCCATTCACAATTGGTTCATCACAAATGACAGTGACCTGTCCAACTGAGCTCGAGGCTATTGTTGTTCATAATTTTATGCTAACGCCTTTACCAAGCAGCTTGTCCACTGAGCGATTGTTGCCATTTTTAACACAAGAAACTGTTCTCTTTGGGGGAGCATTTAAAAGGCCAGTTTTTGCCTTATCTGTTAGGAAGCACAGAAAATATTTTGCATAAGGATTACATTGTTAAATGTTATGGCGAAAGAGCATCCTTCAGGAACTCATTCCTGTCCTGTCACTGAGGAAACACACACACACACACACACACACACACACACACACACACACGCAGAGAGAAGGAATTGCTGTAAGCTGTACTCCCTGCGGCCTAGGGCCAAGTCAGTGTGTGGAAACACAGGGGCAGAAGGTAGTGCGGTGGTCCTGGTATGCCCCTGACTTCCCATCCAATCTTTAATAAGTCAGTGACACTTTCTGTGTCCCAGATTTCATACCTAGAATAATACTGACTCCACAAAAATACTGTCTCCCTGGTTCACTGGAACGGGAATGTTGAAAAGATGACAGGCGTAGTACAGAGCCTGAGAGCGGCTGTTGGGCAGGAGGAGAGCAATTAATAGTTTATTTGGTTTGACTTATTTGAGGAGAAAAGCTTATGTCTGTCAGACCGTCACATTGCGCTTGCCTCAGAACATGCAAGTCAGACACCTGCGTGCTTGCCCCCTTGGGAGCTAATGGCCTGGGGATGGAGGTGAACCTCAACTCAGCATCCACCAAGGACAGTCCCTGGCTCTGTTCTCTCTTCCCTGGGACCTGGCTCTCTCCTGTTCTTCAAAGGCGGGGTTGTCCATAACCTATTGCCACTTAGGCCACCAGTGACAGACTGAAACCAGCCATTTCCCTGGCCTTCCAGGCATCCTCAGCTGATTATGTTGTTGGAAAGGCAGTCACCATGCCCTGGCCTCCCCCAGTATTCTTACCTCACAGAGAACCTGGAGATTTCTAAGGAGACCGCTGGGACCCCGCCCATGCCTAGTTCACAATCAGCAGTCACTGCAGATGAGCTCTGCGGCCAGAGCTGTTCCACTCAGTTACTGAACGCTTACTAGGCAGCTGCCTCAGACTAGATTTACCCCATCCACTGGAGGGGAATCGTGATACATGGTTCTTGGCCTCGGGGGCTAGGCACAGCATTGTGATGCATAGACGTGTAACCAGAGCTCTCACAGTCTAGTGTGATTGGGACAAGCCATCACTGAGGCTGGTGGGAACATCCTCCTGGACTGAAACACACCACTGCAGGGGTAAGGAGAGGAACCTGGAAGGGCCAGTGCTGGCTGGAGGACACATTAGGAGGCTACGGCCGGCCAGTCTTACTGGGCCCTTGAGCCACAGCAGGGGCCATGAGGGTGAAGGATCAGAAAGGCCCTTTAGCAGGAGTCCAGGCGTTAGCAGGGGGCTTGGGCCTGGATGCTGTGCCATTTGGGAACAAAAAATACAGGAGGAGTTCCTAGTGTGGGAGAAATGGGGTTCAGTTTGATGGATCGAGTCTGAGGTGCCTGTGGGACAGCCAGGCAGGAAGGGGCCAGAAGAACAGTCTAGAGTCTATAGGGTTTGGAAGACTCAGTTGTGGGCCATCTGTGTGTGAACGGTAGTCAGTACCCCCAGAAGTGTGCTGAGTGTTGAGAGCTGAGGACAGACCCTGAGGATCCCCGGAAGGGATGGAGGAACCAGTTGATGACCGAGCCCACCCAGAGTGTCAGAGAGAGTGTCTGACGGAGGAAATCCTCTGGGGTGCCACCCTGCCTATGACCTGTTCTCACATGAGCTCCTCAGCTTGGCGCATTAGTGAACACAGCTCCGTGTTTGCCTTTTTGTTCATAATTAAAGGATTATATTTAGGGTATGAGGGTCAATAGAGTGTTGGGTTGAGTCCCTGTTTTTATCAACAAAAAGAATTAGTTCCAGTAGCTAGTCGAGGGCACTGGATTGAGTCCCATTTGGGTGGTTCCCTACTTTCTTGCTCACCTTGGGCATTCAGGGTTGCATTCAGGAATTCATTTTGAAGCATCAGGAATGTGGCCTGATGGTCTTATGCCACCCCATGGAAGCTGGCAGTTAAATGTTATCTGAGTTGTGGTTTGAAGTCTGTGGGGGAAACTAAACAAAAGTCTGCATGATTTCTGTAAGTTATATTTTCCGAAAGTGTCCAATATTATTCATTATGTCTGTGGTTTCCTTTTTGGTGTGGTTGTCCCCAACAGAAAAAGATAAGATTTGAGCTTTGGGCAAGTATATGTTTCCTGTTTGAAGGACTTCAACTCTTAGCATCACCCAGATCTCCTTTCCCATCACTGAATAACTACAGAGGCCTTCTTGCCACATGACAAGAGCAAGTGAAGGTTTGGTGGCAGTTGACAGTGTCACAGGCGTGCATTTGCTTGCCTCTGTGGTAGGTGCCAAGAGGGATGGTATGGCAAGATGCAAACGACACCCTTCTGTCTTCATGGGGAAGCCTCACCCCTCTCTCTCCTTTCCCTTCCCCTCTTCAGTTGGGCTGGATAGGAAGGTGAGAACCCCCCATGCCCCAGGTGCTGGTTGGGTGGTTGGCAGGAACTGGAGGACCTCGAGGCAGGGGTCCAGTTGACACATAGTTGGGTCAGAAAAGGAAGCAGGTGCTCTCCTGGCATGGGTCAGCTAGCTCGCCTCCGTGTGCCCTGCCCTGAACCAGATTACCAACTCCAAAGTCAAAGAACCAGTCACGTGACAGTATCAGATTCTGGGAAAGGACCGGTCCAGTCCAGGCAGCAGGAAAACTGGGAATGATCAGGAGCACCCCAACTCACTCACCAGGCTTGCCAGCACAGGCTTCTGGCTGGTCTCACCATGGACACATCCGCCAGATTTAGAAAGAAAAATGTACTCTCTCCCTAAAGAAGGCCGGACAGTGGCCCTGGCCAGGACTGAGACAATTCTGGTGGCTACTTAGCATTTCCCTTCTCTCAGAAACCCTGGGTGCCAACTAGGCTAAGGCACAATTCAGGCTCTGCTTCCAACTCCCGGAACAAAGCAGGTTCCCGCCAATGATGGAGCAGGGCTCTTGGTGTTTTGCTGCCCAGAATTGAAACACGTCTGTCCAAGGCTGCTGTCCTCAGGTTTCCTCTTACTAATTGATTGATTAGAAAGTCTGGGTGCAGAAATGATCACATTCCGTATCCTTGTTTTCCTTGACATCATCAAGCAATTTTTCTTGGTAAGAGAGGATCCCAGGACTGGATTGGTACTCATGCTTTTCAAATTATGTCCTTGCTATTCTGGGCTCTCAGAAGATGAAATCTTCATTAGTAATCAGGGCACTGACTGTCAGTGTCCTTCCGGGATCCCAGGGCAAAGTTTGCTGCATAAGCACTGGGCAGCCCTGGGGCAGAGGGCTGGGCCCACCCACCATGCCAGGGAAGACCCCCCTGCCCAGCCCTAACCTCCAACCATGAGTGTTTGAGCCTGTTCACCTCTGTGAGCATCTGACACATGATAAATGTCAGTCAGAATCAACTTTCATTCCTTTTCCTAATAAGTAATGCCCAGTATGTCAGTCTGTATGTGGCAAAGAATCTAATTTTATAAAGTCGTATATATATGATATGCAATTATATGCATTGTAATATATATATTCTTCTAATATATCAATTCTTCTAGGGAGAAATATATATATATATATATATATATAAAAAACACATATTTCTCCCTAGAAGGATCCTTATAAAGCATGGCATGTCCCTGCAACAAACCCTCCCTGGTTTCCCATTCATTTAGAAGAAATTCTTGCATCCTTGCCCCAGCCTGCAGGCCCCCACACTCAGTCCCCCTGGTTCCTCGGATCCCATTCCCCCCACCTCCTCCCCTCACCCACCCTGCTTCACCCCAGGCCTCCTTGCTGTTCTTCACACATGCCGGGCATGCTCCCACCTCGGTGCCATTGCCCTCGCTGGGCCCTCTGCCTGGAGCACTCCACATGAGCCTCATGCCCATGCTCATTTGGGTTCCTGCTCCAAGGTCAGCCCCTCAGAGAGCCCCCCTCTCAGCAGCAGCCTTGGCCTGTACCTCAGTCTCTAGCACAATGACTGTTCATCTCATGGTAGGATGTAAACTCCCTGAGGGAATCCTAAAGTCTGTTGCTGCCATATCCCCATGCTTGGCCCAGTGCCTGGCATGTGGGAGCACTCAACACATAATCACTAATTTAACAATGAAGCACATGACACAAAAACAGGCACTGACTTGCAGCTTTACAAATATTAATATCATCACAACCACCTGATGAGGCGGGTACTGTTGTTACCTTCATTTTATACACAGGGAAACTGAGGCACAGAGAGGTTAAGTTGTTTCCCTTCAGAATTCAAAGCCAGACATCCATCCTAGAATCTGTGCTTTTAACCACTACCCTGTGTTTCCTGTGTTGTGGGCTGAACAAAGGTGTAAATGATCAGGTTCCTTCCCTTAAAACCAATGATCCACAGGACAGGAAGCCGCCGTATGACCCAGCTTTGCTATACAGCTTCTGAAGTATGTGAGTGTAAGCTATAGAAATGCATTTTATAGGAAGGCACTGAAGAAGCCAGGGAAGGAAATGGACTAAAATCATCTTAGTGATCATCTCTAGATAGTGGGTTTTCAGGTGACGTGTATTTTCCTCACTGTACATATCTGTATATTCCAAGTTTTCTGCCTGGGCTAATATTAGAATGCTAAAATTAAAATGGTTGCTTCTCCAATGAATGTTATGTCGAAGGGGCCAGCAGCCTTGAGTCCTGCCTGGGCTCAGCTCTGGGCAGGGCAGGGGAGGCATCGGAGGTAAGCCACCCCATCTGTGATCTTCTCCCTTTGACCTTCCAGGACATCATCGAGGGGGGCAACCTTCGCATCCCACTCCAGGAACTGCACCAGATGATCCTGACTCCTATCAAGGCCTACAGCTCCCCGAGCGCCACCCCTGAGGCTCGCCACCGGGAGCCCCAGGCCCCACAGCCACCTTCACTCATGGGCCCCGAGAGCCAGAACCCCGACTGCAAAGACAGTGCTGCGGCCCCTGGCACCACAGCCACCACCTCAGCTGGAGCTAGCGGCGGGCTCCATCCACACCATCTGAGCAGCTGTGACGGGGAGTTAGCTGTCGCCCCCCTGCCAGAGGGGGATCTCCCTGGGCAGTTCACCCGTGTCATGGGGAAAGGTAGAGCCTGATTTCCCCACCTCCCCTTCTCTTCTCTCAACACCACTAATCAGAGCTACCAGTCCCCAAGAGGCTTCCCCTGGGTGCTGGATAAACTGCCTGCCAGAGTCCGGGTCATTAGCCCATTGTACAGATGAGGAAAGTGTGGCTCTGAGAGGTCAAGGTATTTGGATCTGAATTCAGATCTCTCTGATCCCCAAAGGCCTCTTCCTTAACCTTGTATCCTTTCTCTCCCACTCCCCAGACCAGGGCTGCGGGGCCCTCCTGGTATAGCTCTCACTGGGCCTTGGACCCTCAGGCTAAAGCAGCGATTTTCAACCTTTTTCATCTCATGACACACATCAATTACTAAAATTCTGTGGCACACCAAAAAAATATTTTTTGCCGATATGACAAAAAAATAGGTATAATTTTTATTCATTCACATGGAATGGTTATTGTTGTGTGGCTGTTGTCATTTTTTAATTTGACAGTCTAAGGAAAAAGCGGCCAGTGCCCTTGACTAAATAGGTGCTGCATGTTTTAATCATCCTTGCAGCGCACAGGTTGAAAATTGCTGGGCTAAAGTCAGCCCTTACCACGGACCGTGCAAGGTACCACAGCCATGCCGTGTGTGTGTGTGTGTCTGTCTGTCTGTCTGTCTGTAGGGCAGCACAGAAGTCACACATGGTCCTCTGGGTAAGAGCACTCTTTCTGCCTGGACGGCCCTGTGCCTGCCCCGTGGCTTAGATCCTTATGCACATATCCTTGTCGGTGTCCAAGGCTAGACTAACTTGTGCTTGATGGGTATGTCACAAGAAATCTTGACTATTTGAAAAATGTAGTGAATGCCTGTACTTTACTTTGGGAGGAGGAAATAATTTTTTTCTTCTTTATTATACAATATTTCTGACCGTTTTAAAGAACTAAGTTTTTACCAAAAGATATGGACACCCAAGTCTTAGAGTTGCACTGAGAAACTCCCCCTGGTACGTGTCCTCAAAAAGAATTAGATCCTTAAAAATCTGTTTCAGAGTGTTTCAGAGGAGTTGACCTGTAACATCCCTTGGAGCACAAATGCTGGTAGCTTGATGGCCGGGGTGGGTCCATGGCCGCCTCCCTTCACTTTCTTGCTCTCTCCCACCCCCTAGTGGGTGCTTAGAGCAAATGGCCTGACCCCGTGGATGAAGGGACATGGGGGTGGTTACCTGAGTGTGAGGCGCCTCTGTCTCCTCCCCTGTGGTGAGAGGTATAGTGGGCTCTGCCCTCAGGAGGTCTGCACTCCTCTGGCACTGCTTTTTAAATAAAGTTTAAATGCTTTTAAATAAATTATAAAATAATTTCATGGTCAACATAAAATATCAGAACTAAACAGTGAAAAATAGCTCTTCAACCCCAAGCCTGACCATCTTCCTCCCCAGAGGCGACCAGATAAACAGATTTGGAATATCCCCTTGGAAACTTTATAATCATATACAAGCACATGAGTGTCCTTTTCATACACAAACAGGTCTTGTTTACATGTTTCTTTGCAGCTTTTTTTACATTACATATTTTTAATATTTCTATCAATACAATAGCACCAGCTCGTTCTTTTTTAAAAGGCTGTGTACTATTCCACAGTGTGCGTAAACCATAATTTATTAACAGGGCCCCAGTTAATAGACATGGAAGTGGTTTCCAAGTTTTTGTCTTTACAAACAACACTATACTGAAAACCTATGTGCAGAGATGTGGTATAAGTGGGATTCTCTGACAGAGGGTTGTGCAGGATTGAGAAGAGAGAAAATCATGATGCCCAGGTTTCAAGTGTGATCTACCGAGTGCCAGGCATTTCCACTTCTATTTGACGTCTTTTGTCCAGCCATCTCCATGATGTCCTTTTAAACATGCCCATCAGAATCAGAGCATCAAGACATCTAGGGTGTTGGGCTTTCTGTCTAGGGAAGGCTTATTTTTATACTCATTATTAAGAGACAAGAAAAAGAACTCTGTGTCCTTAGTATTGCATGAGTTGTAGCTAGTATCACTGAAAAAAGACAAGGAAATTTTCAAGTTCAACTGCAAGGTAAAGATGGGGGGGGAGGGGAAGGAAAATGTTTTCCATCAACCTAAAACCAACAATCAAAGTATAAGAAACAGAATCTGCAGTGTGCAGGTCACTCACATTAACTAAATCGAAGTATGGTGGCTCAGTAATCATCTTAAAGACTGATTTTAATTGTTATAATTAACTCGATGCATGATACATGCAGTTTGAATTTATTATTAAACATTTAAGATGTCTCAAAAAAATCACACAAAATAAAATGTCTAGGGCGAGAGCAGAGTGGGCTCCACTACCATGGCCCTGAAGCCCAGCAGTGTGTGTACTCTCCCCACGGACTCACTCTGCTGTCTGTATCAGCACCTCCCTGGGGTGTGTAGGTGAACCTGTGCGTATAAATGCATGGATCACTTTGAGAAATAACCCTCCAGTGCTTGAGCAACAGGCTCCTGCTCATGTGCGCGCCCACGCACCTCATGTCCTAAAGGATGTGCCAGCTTGATTCTTCCAAATGAGGTGCACGGTTCATTCATAAAGTCATGGAGACTGCTCTCTGATAATGTCAATGGGCTTTGATGCCTTTGAACTCCCTCTCAAAAGGAGCCTCTTTCAAAGACAGAGCTCAGGACACTGCTGCGTTCTTCCTCTCCCAGAGCGTCTGTCTCAGGCTGGGTCGCAGGAGGCTTAATATAGAATGGTATGCCTGGAATTAATCGAAGGGGCTTCTCGAGACGAGGGCTCCCGTGGTGACCGAGCCTTTGACTTCAGTGGAATGAAGAGCCTCCTGGCCTTTTTTGTGGGCCTTATATAAAGCCACAGGCATACATACCTCTCAAAATACCAGTCCTGAAAGGAAATCAGAGGCAGATCTCGAGGTTAGGATGGGCATGCATTTTTCTAATTCATCTTTTTTTTTTTTTTTAAATTCACAGTGTGCACGCAGCTCTTGGTCTCCAGACCCGATGAAGAAAATATAAGTTCCTATTTGCAGCTCATAGACAAGTGTCTAATTCATGAGGTGAGTAGTGGCAGATTCCACAAAGCTTTTTTCTCACTGCTTACAAATGGTTCTCAGCGTTTCTGTGACATGATCATTTGGCTCAGCAACACCTTGTTTCCATGGGGCAGAGGTCACAATACCTCGGGCAGAACTGGGCATGGTGGCCTCAAGCCTAAACAAAGCTTGTATATAACTTAGGTGTCCAAAGATTCATCTGAACTGAGCTCTGAAGTGAGGGCGAATGCCTGAGAGAAACTCCTGACTCCAGAAGGATCTCTGAGCGATTGAGCCTGGGGAGGTTAACACACAGTCCTGCCGCCTTGCCCTCGACGCTTCATCTTTCCAAAGTTTTGTGTTGAAACATTTTGTCCTTTGGCCCAACGACATTTGAGGGAGAGATGGAGAGTGTGCAGAAGAAAGAAGCTGTGTTTGTGTGTAGGAACTGTGTTTAGCCAAATGTCCTTTTGAAGAATGACTGAGGCAGGCTGGCACTGTGCCTACCAGACTCTCAAAGTGAGCCCAGTCTTCACCACCAGGCGAGACAGGTGCTGGTCACGGCTGCCCTGAGCGACATGTGGGGACAGGCGGCTGTGCCTCAAATCCAAGACTCCAGTGGCTTCTTTGGTGACTCTTCTCCAAAGAGATACAGGGACAAAGTCTAGACCTTAGAAAACTTAGGCCTGGATGGACCTAGGGCGTTGAGTTCTTTTTGTGGGGTTTTGACATGAGAATAAGATGGTAAAGGCCTCCAAGTCTCCTTACCTTTGCCCTGGTGGCAGCCAGAACCCTGGGAGTCCAGTGGGCCCCAGTTTGGGGAGATACCCGGTGTGGAGGTCTGACCCCTACCCACCCTCCCTACTGTGGTCAGTTCTCTGGCACCCCCACTCCTGGTCGGACTGCCCATCCTCCAGTGCAGGTGTTCAGTCTCCTGCTGGTTTGCCACCCCAGCCACGCCTGCCCCACCCACTAAACACTCATTTTTGCAATATCCATCCTTTTGTGTGCCTCTCCCCAACCCCCGACTCAACCTTTTCTGTTTCCAGCCCTGACCCTGCACTTGTTTTGCCAGCAAAAAGCCACAGAAAGAAGAGAAGGCAAGAACACAGTGACGAGTTTCAGAACTCATTCATTCCATAGATATTTATCAATCACCCTGGCCCTGGCCAGGCAGTTTACTGGGTGAGGGTAGTGGGTGAGATGAAAGGAAAACAGGTCATCACATGATGACATGATGATAAAACCTCTGATGAGGCCCCTCCCGGCTGCCCCAGAGCCCGCATGAGGAGTGGCGGGCATCTACCCGAGCCAGAAACAGGCGTCCCCAGAGGCACTGCCTCCACACGCCCTGAACGGCGGGCAGCCTCAGTGGCCAAGACTCAGGAAGGAAGGAGGCAGGAGAGTGCTCCAGGCAGAGAGGGTGCTGTATCTTGTCGGAGGATTTCGAGAGGGACTGATCAAGGGAGCCTTCAAACTTCTGGAAAAGCAAACAAGATCCCTTCCTCCACTCCCACTCTCACTCTCAACACTGAGCCTCCAGTCTGCCAAGCCCATGAGAGAAAATGAAGCATCCTCTGGCCACCTCTGCTGGACAGTGCCCAGCTTCCTAATTGGTCTGCACCAGCCGGAAGCTGTGGCCTGATACTTGTCACTGTCCTGCCTCGTGCATGCCCTCCCTGGGCATCATGGCTCTTTTTTCTGCTGCTTACCACTTTTTCTCCCCGGCTGCCCAAGCAACTCAATGCAAAGATGGCACGGTGTGGGCTCATCTGCCAGCAAGAGGCCCCGGTTGCCCTCTAGGGGCCTCTCGGCAACGGGAGTCATGGCAAATAGGAGCTCAGGCCGAGTCCACTTGCCTGAATTCAGGTCAGGATGGAGGAGCCTGTACTCTGCTTTGGAAGGAAAAATGTTGTTCAAGACTTTATTATTTTAGTTTGAGAAAGAGGAAGCCCGTCTGAATAATTTTCCACGGCGCCGGGTGGTTGTGTGTGTGAGAACACACCCTGCCTGTGAGGCCCGCATGCAGCCTGCAGCCTGGGCTCGGGACAGGGCTCCTTTCACAGCCTGGCGTGCTGCTCTTCAGCCAGCTGGAGGGGAGGTGTTGACGCTTCCAGGGCCCCTTCCTTCTCTCCAGGGATGAAGGGACTGACTCCCGAGGGTAGGGAAAGGAAAGATGGGTAACTTCTGAATTTTGTATCTGAGACCAATCACTCCACTCATGGATTGTGATCCCAGGCTTCTTGCCTCCTCCCCTTCTTGAGAAGTTTCTAGGAAGCTGAGCTCTTGTCCCCTTAATGAGGCTTTTAATCCAGTCTCAAAAGCTGCAGGACACATCTTCCTCCAGACAGACTTATTGGTCTGGGCTTGACAGGAACAGAAGACTGAGCAGTGGATGACTGGCTGTGTCTGCACAGCCTGTAGTCTGGAATGTTTCTTCCCCTCCAGCCCAGAGCCGCCAGTGGAGGGGCTGAGGTATGGTATCAGCCATCCTGGCCAACGGCCGAGGCATGCCAGGAGCCAGCCTTCAGAAACCACCCCAGCCAGCCATGACCTAGCTCCTCTCCATGCTCCCAGGACTGGGAAGAACTGGCCACCACACGCACTTGGCACTGCTAGGGGGCTCCCTCCTGTCTGCGACCCCGAACTAAATGACCTGATGCCCCAGAGTTGAGTGAATGAGTGCACCTCCCTGTGGAGGTGTCTGCATATCTTTTTGGGTGCTTTTTGCCACCATGGCTGATGTTAGGTATGAACTGGTGTCACTTGAAACTCCGGTTAGGGTATCTGAGCAGTGTGGACAGAAACATTACTAAAAGCCAGGCGTGTTTTAAGTATTCTAAGTGCTTTTCGTGCGTTATCTCCTTTTTTGTTGTTAATCCTCACGAGGATATTTTTTCTATTGATGATTTTTAGAGAGAGTAGAAGAGAGGGAGAGTGAGGGGAAAGAGAGAGAAAGAGAGAGAAAATCGCTGTGAGAGAGACACATCAATTGGTTGCCTCCTGCACGTGCCTTGCACACACCTCGGTAGGGCCAGGATCGAACCTACAACCCAGGTTTGTGCCCTTGACTGAGAATCAAACCCGAGACCCTTCGGTGTGCAGGCCGACACTCTAACCACTGAGCCACACTGGCCAGGGCTTATGTCTTTTAATCCTTACAGCGTAGGGTCCCTTTGAGGGAGATGTTATCATCCTCAGTTTTTAGAAGGAATAGTCTCAGGTAGAGGAATTCACACAGGGGTGTGTAGGGATTCAAGCCCTGCCCATCTATATCCAGAGCCTTCCTCTGACCCACTGCGTTGGACCCTCCTCCTCAACTCATCTTGACCAGGGTGCCTGCTTCTTATGTCCTCAGTTAACATCTGGCTGAATGAGCAGGTCAAAAGCAAAATCTCTCCATCCCATTATGAGTCCAGCAGCAGTGTTTGCCTGTTGCAGTTTTCAGAGGTCCTCACTTGTAGGTGGACACTCACCCAGCATCACAAACAAGTGAGAGAGACCATGGAGGAGGGCGACCTCACCTTTTAACCATGAGACATCCCACCGCTCACCGTGGGGGGGGGGGGTCTGTACCTCTTTCCCTAGCAGGGCACTGGGTCCCTTGGTTGGTAGCTCTCTTTGATTAATACCCTTAATGGTGTCTGGCTAAGGTCATCCAGGAGGAAGCAGTTTGCAAGTCAATAACTTTTCTGCAATATGACTAATATTGTTTTGCTTTTGTTCACATAGCTCTCCTGTGTTTAGGTCCTTAAAGATTAAATGTCATCAGGAAAAAATTAAGCTGTCATTTTTTTTCTCTGTTTCAGGAATCTGTTTCCTTCATGGAAAATAGTCATATAGCCTGTTATTCTAAGTAATAGTTTATTGCTACTTAAATTTCATGCCTTATTGACTAAACCACTTAAGCATGCTATCTCCATCATTGTTAATGCTAATCTGTCAAACCCAATGAATTTCTCACAGCGTGTGGACCACAGTTCTAGATACTTGAATAGGGGATTACTGTATTGCGTGGGTGGTCCTCACCATCTAGAATACTCAATGTCCAAGTTCTGCTTGCAGCAGAGATACTTGGGCACTTGCTGCAAACACAAACCCCCTTTACTCCCCTCCATATCTATTAAGTCAGGCTCTGCGTGTGGGGGAAAGGCCCAGGAATCAACATTTTAACCATCTCCTTGGGGACGTCTAATAGATCATGAATTTGAGAGCCTCTGCCCTGGAGACACATAACCTCTGAAAGTCCTTCCCTGGGCCATGATGAACACAAAAAGATACGTGATATAGATGTCAGCATATTACCGGACAATAGGAAAAACATCCCCAAACACCAGTTTTACTAGAAAAGATTTGAGAAGTCATCAGATCTACCCATCTTCCTAAACTTTAGACAATTTAGGTTAGAATGGGTACACTGGGGTTTTGGTAGGGCACAGGATCCCTTAACTGGAGATTTCTCGGCCCAGCCCTGAAACACAGAGATTATATTCCATTTTCTTTTTTTTTAAATGTTTTTAATTTATTTCAGAGAGAGGAAGGGAGAGGGAGAGAGAGAGAGAGATAGAAACATCAGTGATGAGAGAGTCATTGGTCAGCTGCCTCCTGCACACCCCCTACTGGGGATCAAACCTGTAACCCAGGCATGTGCCTGACTGAGAATCAAACTGGCAACCTCCTGGTTCATGGGTCGACTCTCAACCACTGAGCCACGCTGGCCAGGCTATACTCTGTTTTCTGAAGTCCAGCTGACCACTCAGGGTGTCCACACACCATCAAGCAGATTGATTTTTGGAGTGGTTTAGCATTTCCATTGATTATGAAAATGCCAGGGGGCCTGCAAAAGCCAGAGTATTCAACAATCAATTTTGCAATTTATTCTTGGTTAATGAATAGAGTCCAGAGTGGAGTCAGAGGAAAGGGGAGGGGGGTATGGATCTGCCAGAAATGCAACCAAAACCAAGGGTTATCAAAAGCTTAATGCATGTACCTCCAATGCCAGCTCGCAAATGAAACCTATTGCTGTTTGAACCAGGTTGGAAACAGGTGGAAAAAAAGCAACGGCAGAGACAGTGATGTTTCCTCCTATTAATTGCATGTTTCTTCCTCTAATGTCAGGCTGCGTCACCCATTAAAAAGTCCTGTTTGTTTTTGCAGGCATTTACAGAGACGCAGAAAAAAAGATTGTTGTCATGGAAACAGCAGGTGCAGAAGCTCTTCCGGTCTTTCCCTCGGAAAACCCTTCTAGACATATCAGGATATCGACAGCAAAGAAAGTATGTTGGGATTTCATTGTTTGTAATGCATGGTGGTTCCCAGGTGCCTCATTGCCTGCCTGGGTTCCTGGGGCAGGACCAGGCAGGGCATTCCTTGTTCACCAGGGTGCCCTGTGGCGACTTCCAAATTGCATTCCTTAAACAGGTGGGGCTGGGAAAGACTGTAGAGGGAAAGCATTCCCGGGAGGAAGAGTTGAATGTGTTCTTTTGTAACTCAATTGACATTGTCAAAATGATGGTTCTCGTCCAGATGTGCAGAGTGGGTATGATTTAATGAATACCAGCAGAACGCTTGGTAGTTTATCCCCAAAAGGGAGCTCTGAAAGGACAAAAATGGATTGTTCTATCGGCACCTTACGTGGTGGTATAATTTTTTTCTCTCTTCTAGCTGCAGACAAGCTAATTATAGTTGGTGGTAGGGTGAAGAGCCCAGTGCTAGTCTATTTTGGTCTGAGCTGCAATCTAAGAGTGGAGCAGTACCATTCTTGACTTTTCATAGTACTTCAGCTTCTTGGGTGCAGTTAAAAATAAGCCTCGTGTAATTTAGACCCCATTACCTTAATCTCGCTATAAATTAAGGAATCCAATCGCATATTAAAGGTGAATTACAGTGCCAATCTGGGGGGAGAAATTAGGGGAGGGGTGGAGTAAGCCTTGAACAATGACGGGGAGTTTGGGGGAGACAAGGGAATGATGCCAACCTCCAAAAAATCAACATTCTATTTATTTTACCTTTTTAAACATGAGCAGATAAATCATGTTTTCCCTTGCGCCTAAAAAGTTCTGAATTCATTTCTCAGTGCATTTATTTGCATAAGTGTGCCTTAAAACATCACTGGTTTATATTATTTAAGGGAGTTAAGGCAAGTTGAAATTTGTGGAAAGTCTTTATTAAAGATTAGTGTAAAAAATGAATTATCATACTCCGGCACATACAACATTGTTATTCATTAAACAGACGTTTGGGACTTACTATGTGCCAAGTGGTATCCAAGCACTTTAAGAATATTAATACATTTAATCCTTGCAACAACCATGTAAGGCAGAGGAGCTACTCTTAACCTCGTTTTACAGAGGAGTGGTAGGCAGCGGCAGCCAGGATTTGGTCCAGGCAGGCCAGTTCCAGGGTCAGTGTCTTAGCCACTGCGGTTGTTGGGCAGCTCTCATGGTCTTTGGCTCCTGTGCAGAAAAGATGGGCGGGTCAAGCAACACTCTTTATTTCCTGCTCCCTGGCCCCAAGCCCTCTGGGGGCAGCCTCCCTTCTGGGCTGGGCTGGGCTGGGCTGGGCTGGGCTGGATCACCTCTGCACCCAGATGAAAGGCCAGGCCTGCTCTTCAGCCGCCTGTCCTGGGGCTGCCCCTTTCCCAGACTCTCTTTCTTTTGTAAGGGCAACAGTGCTTCTCCCAAATAAGAGTAGGAGGTTCCAGACCCCTCTTGCAACACCAGCCCCTTGGGAGACAAGTTCCTAGAGGAAGAAGGAATATTAAAGGTTGATGATGAAGACAGAGCTTTTAAGGTCTTTGCTGCTCCTCCCAAAAGTTTCATCGCCTGCCTCTCTCTGTCCCGCCTTGTCCTTGGTTTGCATCCAAGTTCCCATTAACCTTGACCTCTCTAGACTGTTACTATCTAAAGCTTGTATTGGGTTAACCTAAGGTTTGCCAGATTGGAGTCCCAATGGACCTCTTTTTATTGATTCGATAAGAATGAATTCAATCATTGATTGTAGATGTTCAATTGGAGGTTGCTAAAGCTCTAGAAATTAATTTGTTCTCCTAAGTATTACCTCTGGGATCTTTTTATGCTATTAATTTGCTTTGAAGACCTGTTTCTCCAATCATACAAAAGTAACTGCAGCCCAGCCTCTGCTTGAATTATCACAAATCCCGAATTAATCGGTTCTTATTCAGTCTTTTCACGCATTTCAAGGTAATGAAATCAGTTGGTTAGATTTAGGAAGGCAGAGAAAGAGAGACACACAGATGGGCAGAGAAAGAAAATGAAAAATGAAAATTTACTTTTGTCGCTTTGTTCTCTCCCCAGAAGGAATGATTATTTCATTAAGCCTAGTGATTTTAAGTAAGCTAAGCATTCACCCTGGTTGCCAGCAGTGGCGACGCTTAACAAGATTGGCTTTGTAATAACCCATTAAGGACGCCACAGCAGGGCTCAGCATCGTTAGAAAGAAGGCCTAGCCAAATTCTCCCCACCCCCACCCATTCTAGCCCCAAAATGTTCTGGGCTTTACCACCCTGTACCGCCCAGTGAGTCCTCACTTCAGGAGTGCCTCAAGCCCTGTTTCTCCCATGACTGCATGTCCCATAACAGAACCCTCTGCCCACATCCTATTGCTTAAGATACATTCTGCCTTCCTGGAATCGCAGATCATTTTAGCATCATTCATTGATGACTGTATTTTGCATATGAAGTAACTTTTAAAAAATCCAACCAAAAATGCAAACGAGCAAGATCAAAAGCCATTAGCACTAAATAAGGAAAAGTCTTAGCAGAATACTGAATCGTCTACCAGGCAGCCAAAATTCTGACTCCAAAATCCAATCTTCATAGTTTAAAAGAACAACCACCACCCCTTGCTCTCCACCTGTCACTCAGTCAGACTGTCTGTCCTTCCTCCAAGGGAGGTCTCTGCCATCACATGAAATTACTCCTACCCCTCCTGGCTCAAATTTCTTTTTTCAAATCAAACATTTTAAACCTTAGTAAAAGAAAAAAGACAGGAAGAAAAGGGGGAAGGGATGAGATAAAGAGACCTAGAATCCTTCTCACCATGTGTAGATGAGCCTGTAACAGAGTCGGGGACCTTTTCCTGGGCCACAGAAGCTTGAAAGTGGAAAGACACAAGCCCAGAAATCAGTTGCAGCCAGCTCACAATGGAATTCTCCCTGCCCTCTCTCTCTCTCCCTGGGAAAATAAGAATGCTGGGGAAAGAGAAACATTTTCTGAGATCAACTGTGCTGATGGCTTAGACGCCCCTCCCCCTATGCACACACAACTCTCTCTCAGGAAATGACTGTTTTGCAGCCCCCCTCCCGCCCCCCAAACATCCTCAACTGGTTAAACTACGTCAGCCCTGTCTCCTGGAGTCTCCTCACAGGCCTGGTACAAACCTCCCCTGTACCTTTGGGAAAGCAAGTCTGTTCCATCTTGTGGCCACTGGAGGTAAAGCATTTCGACCTAAACATCAGTGAATGACTAAAGCTGACTCTTCTTGGAAAGAATGTGCTGGTTCCTGAAGCCCTGCTGGCTGCTGCATACCCTCCCAGAACCTGAGGCGTGTTAGGACGAGTTCTTTGGAGATGAGGTCACAGGAGCAATGGGAGCACAGCGTCCAAGTGCAATGCCTGGGTCTCCAGCAGCCCTCCTGCGTGGATCCGGGGGAGACACGTAGCCTCTGATCTTTCTGCAGGGAGGGCCTGTGCAGTGGGGAGCAGTCAGGGTCCTGGGTCCAGAAAGCTTGTAAACATCACCATCTCCATTCTCATGTCCCTACTGTGTACCCTGGAGTCAGAGCCCCAGACGTGGGGTCAGCTTTCCCATTTGGAGAGTCATCATGATGGCAGAGGCTCGTTCATTCTTTCATTCATTCAACCTGCGTATCCTGTGCCAGGAGCTGATTCAGCCATGGGACATACAGGTTTGATGAGAACAGACACCGTCCTTTTTCTCATGGAGCTTACATCCTGTGGGGCTCTCAGGCCACTCTCCACAAGTCTGCCACACAGACAGACATCAGACAAGACTGTGGTTTGATGGAAGGAACACTGAGCCTGGCTATGCCGCTTTCTTGCTATGTGGCCTCTTGACAGGCATGCGAGTGCTCTGGGCCCTGTGACGCAGCTTGGAAGAAGGCCCTAGAGCACGCTGGTTAAACTGGGCTGCCAGCACTGCCCCCTGCTGGCTGTGTGACCTTCGCGAAACAAGCTTTTTTACTTCTCCAGCCGTAAATAAAAGTGGATAGAGCACCTACTTCATTGGGTTGTTGTGAGGATTGAAGAATCGATGTGAAAGGGCTGTGACGGTGCACATGTTTGCTCTCAGGCTTTAGCTGTTGTTCTAATCATAGCCCTGCCTGGTTCAGAGCCCCCCAAGATCCGATAGGCCTCATGACTGTCAAAATGTGAGCAGACCCCCAGGAGGCATCCCACTGGCAGCCTGGGGAGTGACACGGCTGAGGGGCACTCATGCTCTTGTTCTGTTTGCTCCCACAGTCGCGGCTTTGGGCAGTCCAACTCCCTCCCGACGGCCGGCTCTGTGGGCGGTGGCATGGGCAGACGGAACCCGCGCCAGTACCAGATCCCTTCTCGGAATGTCCCCTCCGCCCGCCTTGGCCTCTTGGGCACCAGTGGGTTCGTCAGCTCCACCCAGCGCAACACCACAGCCAACCCCACCATCATGAAACAGGGAAGACAGGTATGTTCTGCACCGGAGAGGAGGGTGGGCAGCCAAGCTCAGTGCCTGAGGCTTCAGGATGTTTCCCCAGATGACCCCAAGGTGAGGGGAGAGACCAAGGGGGGCTAAACTGAGAGACAGTTGTCCCTGTCCTGTGCAGTCACCAGTGTCATGTGCATTGTTCCTCTGGGAGATAGATCAATGCCAAGGCTGTACCTGGCCTCAGGGAGGATGGCTTAAGATGTCCCTGGGACCACTTTAACCTCGGGGGCCCCGAGCAAGGGGGCCTTTAGAAAGAAACTTAAGATCTGCTTATTAGTTGCCTCAACCCTTAACTTGCCCCGGCAGACCTCACCACTTCCCAAATCTGGGTTCCAGAGAAGCCCTAGCCTCTAAAGAACTTGTTTATGACAAATACCTCCTTGTCACCATCCCAGCTCTGGTGGAGAGTCCGCAGGAAGGAGCCTAAGAGCAGCTATCAGAGGGAGAGTTGAAATACTCTCAAGCCAGGCAAGGCCAGGCTGCCCAGAGTTCCTGTCTGTGTGACTTAGGGCTGATCTCTATCCCTTGGCTCCTCAACCCTCTACCCCATCCCCTGCCCCTGCCCATGCCCAGTGCCTTCCATCTGTGTGCCCCGTGCCCTTCCATCTGTGGGGGCATGTAGGTTAGGGCTGGGATTGGAGGGACACGGTGGTTCTGAGGTCCTGGGCTGTAATGAAAAATTTAGGGATGATAGGTTGGTTTAAAAACAGGAAAACAGCTCTAGGCCAGACAGGCAGGATTCGCTCCCCCAGGGGAAGCAGCCCAGGCTATGAGAAAGCCCCACTTTCTGGTCATTGTGGGGAGCCCCCAGGTCAGTTCGAGAGGAAGTCACTGGTAAGACGCCACTTAATAATAAACACAAGCTGAGTTGTACCAGCTCATTGCCAATTGAGAGGTTCTTTTTTACCCCCTCGCTTTGTAGTAAATTGTAAGAATCTCAAAAAAAATCAAATGATAGCCCTGAAAGTTGGTGCCCTTTGTGACAGACATTAATGGGACTCCCCCCATTTCTGAGAAAAATGACAGGAAAAGCAAAGGCAACAAAAGGGATAGAAAAGGGTTTGGAGATAGTGAGGGAGAGAGGTGTCCAGATTAAATGAGGTGTAGAGAGGGGCCTGGGGCTGAGGAGAGGGGAGAGGGGCCATGTAGATAAAATGAACGGAACCTCAGTTCCCTCTCTGTAAGTAAGCGGATGGGCAGTGCTGGTCTGCAAGCCCTTTTCCAGAAGTCAGCAGAGAATTCTCCCCGCAGTATTAGTCTCCTGAATTCTGACCCGGGCCCCACTCCCTACCCCC